GAGTCTGTTGACTTCTCATTCCTAAGTTGATCGGCCAGCTTATCCGCCAAAGATCGAGCCTATAATATGTGACACACTTCATAAACGAACAAAGTATTGCAGAGGAGTTCAAAAAGATAGGTTGCAATAATTAATCAACTTCAAAGTTGATCTACCTTCTCAATATCACCGCTGGCAGCAGCAACGACTCCAGTGGCTGCAGATATGGACTGGAAGGCCTGTCGAGAGAGATTGGGCACATCATAAACTGGAGCAGTCAATTGATCCAGTAGTTCCTACAAACGTATCGCTGACGAAAATCATGCGAGATCATGAAGTAGACCTTGCATACCTCAAAATGTGGCTTTCCAGGAATCGGCTTGGAAACGAGGGTTCGAATCATATCTAGAGAAGCTTGTAAGGTAGCACCCTGCAAGACAATGGTATTGCGGCTTCAAGAATGCAAGTAAATGTGAGATTTTTGCATCCACCAACATAGTCATACTTCGAATTTACAAGAGCGCGCAATAATGAATGAACTTGTGTGCGAACATAAGAACAAGGGAAGTTATTCAGCATAGCTTGTCAAGAATGACTCAAGTTTATGTGCATGTAACCTACTTTTTGGCTGATTAAAATTCCAACAATCAATCTAAACATATAATAAAATTCGATTTATTGAGAAAATTGATTTGCACAAAAATTTCAATACCTATGGCATGGCCGTAGGAAACTGCTTGAACTAATCAAACTAACGGGCCAACATAGGCTGTCTCAGTCACCAAATGGTTCGGATCTTCGCGGGTGTCTCGATCCGGGCACTGCGTCACGCGTACATACCCTCTGGCATTTTCCTATGCCTGGCATCGCTCAAGAGTCGTTCAGACGTGGGAAAATGACAAAAGGGTACGATCGCGAACATATCTCAAGGCCGAGGCGGTCGCGACACCACGAGTCACTGGAGCTGTGACACTCTCACTGAGATAGCCTAGGGCTGAATGCGCCCAGTCTGTATCCAACAACAGAACTGAGTGAGTGCAAGACCCGGATACAAAAGCTTACCTGGAGTAAAGCAGACTGTGATAGGTGAATAACTGCAGATAATATTGTAGACAAGTGTGGTGCAACTCGAGCAGGATGTGCCTCCAAACCAACTGAAAAACAAAACAAAAATAACATTGTCGGAGTGAGTGTTTGCCGCATCAAAAAAAAAAGATGAACCGTGAAAGTCATTTTGATAATGCTTATGAACCTCACAAACCTAGTGCGACTTTGAAGATCTTTAAAAAAGCAAGCAAACTGAACGTATCATCACTTCCAGCAAGACCAAAACTTAAAAACCAACTCTAGACTTTGAGCGAGGTCTGGGGTCGATAGGGAAGTTCCGGCAATCTCTATAGATTTGTGACTTTGCTGCAGAACATGGGGTTCGATAG